TCAAATGAAATGATTCTTAGAACAAGGTTAGCATCCTTTTCCTTGAAATTTTTATGGTGTGTGTTTCTACTCTTCGGGGACATTGATTAATGGTGGTGTATAGACTTTCAAAATGTTAATTTTTCTATTTTATTGTGTTCTTGATCAGAAATGTTGAGACACAAGGAGAAATAGTGCTCAACTTGCATGGAAAAGTTTTCCAAGAAAAGACAAGTGAAGTAGATAATGAGTCAAATGAAATGATTCTTAGAACAAGGTTAGCATCCTTTTCGTTGAAGTTTTGTGTTGCGTGTTTCTACTCTTTCTGGACATTGATTAATGGTGGTGTATAGAGTTTCACAATGTTAATTAATTTTTTTCTTTTATTGTGTTCCTCGTTAGAAATGTTGAGACACAAGGAGAAATAGTGCTTGACTATTGCATGGACATTTTTTTCTAAGAAAAGGCTCGTGAAGCAGATAAGGAATATTCAAATGAAATGACTCTTAAGATGAGGTGAGTCACGGAGTCCCACATTGTTAATTTTAGGGTGTTGTTAAACGAACCTTAAAATTAACTGAGTACACCTTACCACACCATCAAACTATTTATTGAATTACAATTTTACCCAAATATAAAATGACCAAAAAATATATATTGAATTGTGAAACAAATGTAATTTTATTATGTACACTTTACTCACCATATCCAACCCTAATGAAATGTGAACAAAAAATCCTACATCCGAAATCCTTAGTATTAACTCCAACTATTTGATCATCGTTATTTAGTAATTCATTGATGCATACAAATCTCATGGTACTTTCGTGAATCATAATTTATTTTTAGGTGGAATAGATACTAGTGCAACTACAATGACATGGGCGATGGCAGAATTACCAGAGGTACAGCTCCATTTTTAATTATGTATATATGTTATCAGTAACCTTGTGCTTTTAGGGTTTCATAATCATGATTGTTTAGATCCAGATCTGGAAAATTGGGAGTTCCTTTTGATAAACATCTTACAATTTCACCCTTTTATTATTAAATTTTTATAGATTTAGTTTTCTTCTTCTAGAATCTGAAGTCTCTTTTTAACAAATCATCCTATGCCGTAAAAACATGCATTAAATTTAAAGGAAATTTATTCGTTATTGTAACCAGAACTGGTCTGGTGATTCAATCGATGTTATTTGATTTGTAGATCTAAGAGTCCTATTACAATTTTAACATGTCTAGCATATTTGCTCATGGTTTGGAAATTCTTTGTTTCAAAACTGTCTAGTCTGAGTATATTTTCTCATGGTTTTGATGTATAATCTTCTGGTTTTGATGATGTACCAGAATTATATATATGTATCCAATGCTACACAAATTGGAAGTAAGAATCGGGTACATGGTTAGAGGTGAAGAAAAATTTGGGAAGCGGATTCCTTTTTCAAGGAGGCATGGCTTAGTTAAAGTGGATCAGCACAAGTGGCAGAGAAATATGAAAGCCCTCTACCAAAAAGGAAACGTAGATACCACATTGAATTTGAGGAGGTTCTCACTTGCTCATGATATCTACGCTTATTAGTATTTCCTTTCCTTGTTTAAACGAGTTTATGAATTCTATTGTATTCTGCAGGGAAATTTTTTTCCAAGAAAAGGCACGTGAAGTGGATGAAGAGTCAAATGAAATGATTCTTAGAACAAGGTTAGCATCCTTTTCGTTGAAATTTTTATGGTGTGTGTTTCTACTCTTTGGGGACATTGATTAATGGTGGTGTATAGACTTTGAAAATGTTAATTTTTCTATTTTATTGTGTTCTTGATCAGAAATGTTGAGACACAAGGAGAAATAGTGCTCAACTTGCATGGAAATGTTTTCCAAGAAAAGACAAGTGAAGTAGATAAGGAGTCAAATGAAATGATTCTAGGAATAAGGTTAGCATCCTTTTCGTTGAAATTTTTATGGTGTGTACGTTTCTACTCTTTGTGGACATTGATTAATGGTGGTCTATAGAGTTCCACAATGTTAATTAATTTTTTTCTTTTAGTGTGTTCCTCGTTAGAAATGTTGAGACACAAGGAGAAATAGTGCTCAACTTGCATGGAAAAGTTTTCCAAGAAAAGACAAGTGAAGTAGATAATGAGTCAAATTCAAATGAAATGACTCTTAAGACGAGGTGAGTCATGGAGTCCCACAATGTTAATTTTAGGGTGTTGTTAAATGAACTTTAAAATTAACTGAGTACACCCTACCACACCATCAAACTATTTATTGAATTACAATTTTACTCAAAATATAAAATGACCAAAAAATATATATTGAATTGTGAAACAAATGTAATTTTATTATGTACACTTTATTCACCATATTCAACTCTAATGAAATGTGAACAAAAAATCCTACATCCAAAATCCTTAGTATTAACCCCAACTATTTGATCATCGTTATTTAGTAATTCATTGATGCATACAAATCTCATGGTACTTTCATGAATCATAATTTATTTTTAGGTGGAATAGATACCAGTGAAACTACAATGACATGGGCGATGGCAGAATTAGCTAGGAAACAGAAACTGATGAAGAAAGCCCAAGAAGAAGTTAGAAGATGCATTGGAAACATAAAGGAAAAATCAGTGAATGAGATACAGATGAGCTTCAATACGTCAAGATGATAATCAAAGAGACTCGATTGCATCTTCTAGCTCCAATGATTATTCCAAAAGAAACCATGTCTCATTTCAAAATCCAAGGTTCTGATATTGACCCAAAAACACTTGTCTTTGTCAATGGCTGGGCAATTGCACGAGACCTTGAGTCTTGGAAGGACTCAAAAGAATTTATCCCAGAAAGGTTTGATGGCAGTTCCATTGATTATAAAGGGCAGAATTTTGAGTTTTTACTATTTGGAGCTGGTCGAAGAATTTGTCCTCGGATGTACAGGGGAATAACAACACTACAGCTTGGACTTGCAAATCTTCTCTACTGGTTTGATTGGAAATTGCTTAATGGGATGAAAGGAGGAAGATATCGATATGGAAGAAAATAGGGCGTACCATGGGTATTTTTGGTAGTTAAATAGGGTATACTTAGTTAATTTTATGTTTTGATTTAAATATTATGGTATATTTAGATCATAGGGTGTACTCATCATAAATTTTAAGACACAAGGAGAAATAGTGTTTGACTTGCTTGGACACGGTGCCAAGCAATATAATGTTATTATCCCATGGCCAATCTTCACCGTCATGGTACTAATCCATATTACTCTTACATGAACATAATATCGTCATAGTTATGTTTAACACAATACCTTTATAGTCACGTTTTATCATTCCCATTTTCCTTACCTTTTGTTCAAAAATGCTAGCAACCTTCTTTTTAACCTTCTCCTTTTTACTCATGACATGTGCCACTTTTTATACGCTTAAAACAATGTCAATACACTTAAAACAATGTTATAAATTCATTACACAAGCTAAATTTTGTTTTCCAAGTTTATACTTATTAAATGTATTGAATTTTTTATTTTTATTTTACAACTTTCTTACCATCTTATTAAAAATAATTTTTTTTTTAAACGCCAGTTTATTTTATTTTTTTTAAAAGGTTATTTATTTATTTTTAATTCAATGATAAATTTTTTTCTTAGTTACAAAAGAAGTCCATGCTATGCTAGGACAACAATTTATTATTACAGTCTGTATCCTTTGGAAAAACGAAAAGCATACTTTTTTTTATATATATTTATTAAAAAAAACCTACGTTTTTTCTTATTTAATTTTTTTATATGGTGGAAATAAAGCTATGCAAGGACTGAAGGTTTTATTAGCGCGACATATGTGTTCTTTAGAAAAACAAAAATCAAATAGTTTTTTTTATATATAAAAACCTGTCTTTTTTCTTATTTAATTTTTTAATAAGGTGGAAAGAAAGTTGTTAAAATATTGGCTTGTTGTAAAAAAAAAATATGTACATATATATATATATATATTTAATAAGGGTTAATTTGGAAAAGAAAAATTAGCTTGTGTGATGATTGATGACAATGTTTTAAGTGTAAGGGAAATGACACATGTCATGAGGAAAAGGGAGAAAGTCCAAAAGAGAAGGTTAGAGAGAAGGTTACTAGCAATTCCAATTGTTCAAATCAAATGCCAGGATCAATATTGCAATGGGTTGTGCAACAGCGGCATGATGGATTCGCTTAAGGGTTTTCCCTTTTTTGTTTATGAACCTGGCTCTCGTGCCAAGATGAAGAATATTATTTGGCTAACATTGTTGTGTGTAACACAATGAGGAATATATATACACGTAGGGTTACAATCCTAATCTCACTATTGCAGAGAGTAATTATAGGATTATACTAGAAAACCTAATATTACAAGAAATTACCTAAAATATAATACAAACGTTAGCATGAACAAGAAAAAATAATTTACCTTGGTGGGTATAATGTCATCTTCCAAACTCATATTGACAAATCCATGCTTTATTTTAAATTTTTGGTTGCACTATGAATTTGAACCACACATGTAACAATAAATTTGCTCAAATGGCCCATCTTCACAACCCTTAAACATAGTATGCATCGAGCAAAGGCCCACTAGAGTAGTTTGGAGCAATTGCTCCTCCAGTAAAGGTTTTGGATTCTAGTCCTAGCATTCGTGTAGTGTGTGCGTGAGTTTAGTATGTTGTTGATCCTCTCAATATGAAAGATTCTAAAAAAAACATAAGATGCTTAGGTTGTAATTTCGTAGAAGTATATAACATATCTTATAATAGCTTCTCTCTTGGTCACAATTCATGTTCTCTTTTTCCTTCCCGATTCTTTTAGCTGATTTTACTACTGCTAGTTGTCAATATCTATCTTCATGTATTTTACTTTTGAAATAATTATACATTCTTTGTAAGAAGTTCAATATAAATATATAGAGAATATTTACAACGGCTTTGTATAATATTTTGTTTTGAATTCAACATAATGATCCAAATGTTCATTTTCTAATTTTCATTGCTAGGATTGGCATTATATATGCAGCATGCTTAAACGTTTTAAAAACTTTGTTGTTGACATAGACTATATAGTATGCCACCCACTTTGATTCTTGGAGCTACTCATTTTCATAGGTTCCATCTTTGTTATAGATGATACTTCGGGTTGTCTCTGGTTGATTTTCCTAGAATTTTTTTTGTCAATACAGTATTGCAGATATGGGTTAGGCGACAAGGTAGTGCCCCTTTGCATTCAAGTTTGAATTCCCCTAGAGTATATTAATAATTTAGACTATTACTTGTATTTAGAAATAATTTTTATTTTTATAATAAAAAGTCAGACTGGTGTTACTTAACATGAAAATAACAAGTTAGGTTTTATTTTCTAAGGACCAATTTGGGAGTGCTTCTACAGAAAGAACTTATTCTCATACGAGCTTTATTAGAAGATCATCGAAAATTTAGTTGAAAATCCAAGTGCTTCTTGAAAATGCGCCTACAATGTGCTTCTCCATAGAGTGCTTTTATGATCCATTAGCGCGCGCTTCTAAATTGTTCTATGAAACACGGTTATAAGTGTTTCTGGTTGTCCGAAAGCACTTTTAGCCCTCCCAAAATCCCCCCCACACAAACCCTAAGTGTAACTCTAGCGTATTTGGTTGTTAAATTGTTTTTTTTCAATCCAAGTTTTGGATGGGGGATGGCGATGTGTTATTAGGGTTTGAACCTGAGACCACTAACATGCAGGTAAATACTCTTACCACTGGCTATGAACCCGTTGGCGCATATTTGGTTGTTATTGGTTACTTGAAAAGTTAGGGTTTAAATGCATGCCATAATCGACTAGTGTCATTAATGCTACAAATCATTATCGCCACCACCACCACTTCCATGCATGGTTACTACATACCATCAGTTATCGTTTTTGTAGTTCTTCGTACCGTTATAATAAAACATGAAAACTATCGAGTTATGTATAACCATTGTTAACAAAATTTCTAAAATACTATAGTTTATCCGTTCCACTCCAAACATTTCTAAACACAAATTTTTGAAAATTGAGGGAATTTTAATTTGTTTATAAATGAACCAGATTATAAGTATAAAGACAAAGATGAAGACACGAGGATGGAGCCAGGAGGTCTGTAGTTCAAAAAAATTCACCTGCCAGAAAACATCCCATAGTATTTTTCACCTACTAATTAAAAAGAGTAAGAAGGCCATGTATTTTCAAACCACCCTCCTAGACACAAAACAGCCCATGGTTTTATTTCATCTATAAAAATAACCTAAAGAGCAGTCAGTTGGAATGTGTCAACAAAAAAACCCTTCTGCCGTCTCCAGTTCTAATTCATATTTTATTAGGTTTCGGGTTCCTCTGTGTGTGTGTGTGTGTGAGAGAGAGAGAGAGAGAGAGAGAGAGAGAGAGAGAGAGATCAATGGTGAAGGCATCTGAGTTTTCTGAAGGCCAAGATGAAGAGGAAGATGATGCTAGAACTGTAGAGTCTGATCCAGGCTTCAAAATCGCATCGTTGATTTACCAGAGGTACAGTTCCATTTTTAATTATGTATATATGTTATCAATAACCTTGTGCGGTTAGGGTTTCATAATCATGATTCTTTAGATCTGGATCTGGAAAATTGGGAGCTCCTTTTGATAAATATGTTCCAATTTCACCCGTTTATTATTAAATTTTTCTAGATTTAGTTTTCTTCTCCTAGAATCTGAAGTCTCTTTTTAACAAATCATCCTATGCCGTAAAAACATCCACTAAATTTGAAGGAAATTTATTCGTTATTCAATCGATGTTATTTGATTTGCAGATCTAAATGCCCTATTAGAATTTTAACATGTTTAGTATATTTTGCTCATGGTTTTGATATATAATCCTCGGGTTTTGATAACCCTTTGGTTTTGATGATGTACCAGAATTATATACATGTATCCAATTCTACACAAATTGGAAGCTAACAATAATGGTAATGGGACCATGAAGCCTCTAAACATTTCCAAATCTTCAATCTGCTCATTTAACAGAAACCCTGCTGATTTTAACGGGTACATGATTAGAGGTGAAGACCTAAAATTTGGGAAGCGGATTCCTTTTTCAAGGAGGCATGGCTTAGTTAAAGTGGATCAGCACAAGTGGCAGAGAAATATGAAAGCCCTCTACCAAAAATGAAACGCGCACCACATTGAATTTGATGAGGTTCTCACTTGCTCATGATATCAAACCCTATTAGTATTTCCTTTGCTTTTGTAAATGAGTTTATGAATTCTATTGCATTCTGCAGGGAAAACTTTTCCAAGAAAAGGCACGTGAAGTGGATGAAGAGTCAAATGAAATGATTCTTAGAACAAGGATAGCATCCCTTTCGTTGAAATTTTTATGATGTGTGTTTCTACTCTTCGTGGACATTGATTAATGATGGTGTATAGAGCTCCACAATGTTAATTAGTTTTTTCTTTTATTGTGTTCCTCATTAGAAATATTGAGATACAAGGAGAAACAGTGCTTGACTATTGCATTGACATTTTTTTTCCAAGAAAAGGCACGTGAATCAGATATTGAGTCGAATGACGAGGTGAACCATCCTTCGGTTTGAAGTTTTTGTGGTGTATGTTTCTACTCTCTTTAGACATTGGTTAAAGGTGGTGTACACCGAGTCCCACAATGTTAATTTTTGGGTGTTGTTAAACGAACCTTAAAATTAACTAAGTATACCCTACCACACCACCAAACTATTTATTAAATTACTATTTTACCCTAATATAAAATGACCAGAAAGATTGAATTGTGAAACAAATGTAATTTTATTAAGTGCACAAATGTCAGTGAAAAATCCTACATCCAAAAACCTTAGTATTAACTCCAATTATTTGTGTCATCTTTATTTAGTCATCCATTGATGCAAACAAATCTCATGGTACTTTCGTCAATCATAATTTATTTTTAGGTGGAACAGATACCAGTACAACTACAATGATGTGGGCGATGGCAGAGCTAGCTAGGAAACCGAAACTGATGAAGAAAGCCCAAGAAGAAATTAGAAGATGCGTTGGAAACAAAGGAAATATCAGTGAACGAGATACAAATGAGCTTCAATACGTCAAGATGATAGTCAAAGATACCAGATTGCATCCTCCAGCTCCAATTATTATTCCAAGAGAAAACATGGCTCATTTCAAAATACAAGGTTATGATATTGACCCCAAAACACTTGTCTTTGTCAATGGCTAGGCAATTGCACGAGACCTTGAGTCTTGGAAGGACCCAGAAGAATTCATCCCAGAAAGGTTCGATGGCAGCTCCATTGATTATAAAGGGCAGCATTTTGAGTTTTTACCATTTGGAGCTAGTCGAAGAATATGTCCTGTGATGTACATGGGAATAACAACACTACATATTAGGGTGTATACCATGGGTAATTTTGGTAGTTAAATAGGGTATACTCAGTTAATTTTGTATTTTAATCTAAATATTAGGGTGTACTTAGAAGATCATAGGGTGTACTAATTTTAGAGTTTGTTTAACAACACCTTAATTTATTTATTTATTTTAAATCTTTTATTGTGTTCCTCATCAGAATTATTAAGACACAAGGAGAAATAGTGCTTGACTTGCTTGGTCACGATGCCAAGCAATCCCATGGCCGATCTTCACCATCATGGCACTAATCCATATTACTCTTACATGAACATAATACCTTCATAGTCACGTTTAACATAATACCTTTATAGTCACGTTTTATAGTTCCCATTCTCCTTGCCTTTTGTTCAAATCAAATGCCCAGGATCAATAATGCCACCTTCTTGGAACACATCAAACCCTATCCCTAGTTTCCATAGCCAGCTTAATTGCTTATTCCTTGCATGCCAGGGCTAGGCTAAGATTCCCTACTTATGATACTACCTACTCTCGTTTCAACGTGAGATTTTGATGATGTACCAGAATTATACAATCTTTTTGGAAGTGAAACATAATTTATTACATTCTAATTTAATGACGCTAATTAAAATTTTATTTACTTAATTCATCCGAGCCATCCTTATATTTCAATCGGGTCGTTCCCAACGGCCAGTTACCTTCTCTTTCCAAGTAAAAAAAAAAAAAAAAAAAAAGAGAAAGAAGGGAAAAGAGTCGAAGAAGAAAATTACAAAACGCCCACAGGCTTTTAGATGAAGAATGTCCCCTTGCTTGACCTGGCCTGGTGAAGCTGTTGGCTATCCCATTTTGATTTGTAAATTCGATATTTTGTTGGGTCTATTGTGTATTCGATATTAGGAAAGCATTTGCCACTCTTATAGTTGCGAGCTATTTATCTGGGATATTTCTACGTTTGGCTTGGATGATGTTTTTGTGAGCTGGTTGAAAGTTAATTATTTTTCTACCCCACATTTACTTACCAAATAAGAACACGGAATGATATATGTAACCCTTAAAAGGAAGTTACATCAAGTGTTTTGGAAGATTAATCTTTTCACTATTTTATTTAAGGCTGTTATTAGATGTTTTAGAGTTATTGTGCTTAATGAGCGCACCACTGTTTATTGGTCAATTTTTTTCATTCTTTTCCACCCATTATGCCCTTCATTTGATGTCTTCGTAAGCAATTGAATTGTGCAAATTGGGATTTATATTGATTATTATTTTTTTTTTTTTTAAGGAATAGTTTATTATTATTATTACAAATTTATAAATAAACCCAATCCTAAACATGTATTTATAAAAAAACCCAAGCACTATTTAAACATATAAACACACCCAAAACCAAAATCAACCCCAAAGTCAACTTTTTGGGTGTGTTTATAAATGGGTTTTGAGTGTGTGTAATGATGGGTTTTGGGTGTGTTTATATGTTTAAATAGTGCTTGGGTTTTTTTATAATTTCAACTCCCATTTTGGGTGTTTTAGTGAAACTCCCTATTATTATTATATATCCAAATAAGTGATGGTATAAACTAAACAGGATGGAGATTTCTCACACACACGCAACTAAGATGTCATTGGGGTTTGAATATAAGATTTCTTGTTTGCAAGTCAATGTGCTTTTGCACTTGGCTAGACCCCGTTAACAAGATTCATATTGATTCTTAAATAATTTTTTATGTCACGGCAAATCAACATTACCGCTGATATGTCATCAATACATATTGGAATTCATTATACTAGGCTTGAGGGATCCACCTATTATTCTACATTATGAAAGACAAAGAAAAAGAAATAGAGGTACGAAAACATGACCATTCTCTCTAACACTGGCTGAAAGTATATCTTAATCCTTCCTGCTCCTAAACCGGCGATGGATGCGAATGCTTCTCTAGACAAGTCAAGTTGTTGGGCTTGACAGCCGAGGCAGAGGTCGACGACGGTCACATACACCACATTATTGGCTTTGCATGGTTTCCGACCCTTACTGTATGCTGCAGTTAGGCATGTAACCTTGTATCTCCTCCCAGAGCAGCAGAAGCTATACAAAATTAAGCAAATTATTATAAATATATGAGCCTCACGGGAATTCACCACCATGTTGAATTCTTGAACCTTCCTTAATTAAAATACACAAGGCAGTCAAATAACGCCTTACGGGTATAGGGAGGATTGTAGTTGGTTGCAGAACCAGTAGTTACAATAGCTGGACTTGAAAAGAAACAAAAGATAATTAATGCTGTGAGAGAGCATGTAGCTTGCAGCTGCAACCATATGGCCGCTGTCTCTCCTCCCAGAACAGGCAGAAGCTATACAAAATTAAGCAAATTATTATAAATATATGAGCCTTACGGGAATCAAATGAAGTAAAAATTCACCACCATGTTGAATTCTTGAACCTTCCTTAATTAAAATACACAAGGCAGTCAATTAACGCCTTACGGGTATAGGGAGGATTGTAGTAGGTTGCAGAACCAGTAGTTACAACAGCTGGACTTGAAAAGAAACAAAAGATAATTAATGCTGTGAGGATGAACAAGTTGTGTAGCCTTTCCATGCCATCGCTAGTTTCTTTTATAGTGATCTAATCAAAGTTTGTTACTGCTAGAGATGGAATTGATGCCCTAATTTTGGCTTAGCATAACCATTAATTTATAGAGGTTTTTTTATGGATATTTTAATCTAGAGCTTTCACATGCACAGCACAGAATGATTGTGAAGCTTCCGAGCACAAACACATAAATAAGTATTAGTTGCACGTTCTTGTGATTAAATATTTTAAATATTGGTCTAATAACACATTTTAATCTAGAGCTTTTACATGCACATCACAGAATGATTGTGAAGCTTCCGAGCACAAACACATAAATAAGTATTAGTTGCACGTTCTTGTGATTAAATATTTTAAATGTTGGTCTAATAACATGAAAAATACTTAAGGAGATTTTAATTATTAACGTAGTAGGTGGTCGACCTTAAGCCTATAAGGTCCTGCCAAATTGAAAGGAATGTAAGATCAAGACAAGTTAATACCAAAAGAAAAAAAAAACTCATACTAGACGACAAGATCTTAAACAAACAAAAAAAATTGAAATCTTCTCAGATGATAGAACTGATGAGTGTGGAGGAGAGGAGGGAACATATATAGAATGGTTTGCAATTCAAACAAAATAAATATTTTTCTCTTTCGTTTTGCCCTTAAAAGCAAGGATATTTTTATTTTTATTTTTTATTGCATGTGATATTAACCCAATTTACCTTCTACCATGTCTTTTCCCTCATTATAAAACTTTTGTTCAGCCCATCACCACACCAAATATAAACTCTTGTTGGTTGCCGCGATTCACTGAATTTAACTAAACTTAGTTGTCGAGGTAATTCATGTTGTTTATTTGTTAGTGGATGGATATGAAATAAACAAAATCAAGCAAATTGGTATGTTGATACTCGAAGAGGAGTAGTAGTCTTTATAAGAGTATCTCTAATCAATATCAAATCCAAAAGCCAAATCTGCAAAAACATAACATCACAACTCACTCTAACTAAATAGCTTTAACCCTACGCGAGTGAATTGGCGTTCTTGTTCAAAACGTTCAAAATGACGCCCCAAGCTTGAGGCGTCTTTATTATTTAATATTAATTTTTTAACCAATGGCCCACCAAGCAGTCCTCTGGGCTTTGCAATTTTTTGAAGGTTAATTAATATTGTAGTGCAGTGAAAATAAACTTTTTTCTTATACCAGTTTGAGACACTTACTAAATATGATAAGGGACTACCAGACTCTGATTCCTTCATAGCATGATTCATCCTTGCTCCAATTCCTTCAAAACTAATTCATCATTGCTTCAATTCCTTCATACTACAATTCTGTTTTATTCCCATTCTGAATACATAACCAAGTCATGTACCCTCATAACATTTTACTATATTAAAAAAAGTGACTATTTAATTTGAACTTTCTTTTAAAAAATAAAAATAAAATTTAACGCACCCCACAAAGGAAAAAAAAAAAATTGGGATGTTAAGTAAAATAAGTAGCAACAATTTTAATTTTTTAATTTTTTAATTTTTTGGTGAAACTATTTTTTATTTTTAAGATAGGGTAAAATTGTAAATTAAGCTCAGTGCAAGCAAATTGGCACTGAAGTGCGAGCGGGAAGTTTGAAACATAATCGTTGCAAAGACGAGAGGGCAAAAGTGTAAATATACAGACGAAACGCGATTAACTTTAGGCCGGGCAGTGGGCAGAGTAGACAGTTGAGCACCTAGCGACGTGAAAGCTAAGCTACTGGTTTGCGAGAGAAGTGAAGAAGAGATTAAATTGAGAAAAAATATAGCTGTGGGTTGTAAACCCTAATCTCTCTCTCCCTCTCTCTGTCTCTCTACATTCCCATTCTGATTCTCCTATCACACAAAAAACACCCTTCAAAATCACACACTTTGCTCTTGGCCACAACCACCGAGCGACGTGAAAGCTAAGCAATTGGGTTTGCAAGATAAGTGAAGAGAATGAATTGAGAAGAAATATAGCCGTTGGTTGTAAACCCTAAATCCCCAAATCCATACAACCCTGATCTTGCTCTCTCTCTCTTTCTCTCTCTCTCACTCACATTCCCATTCTGATTCTCAATCACACGCTTCGCTCTTGGCCAAAACCCACTTGGCAGAAACTGAAAATCACGCAACTTACTTGTTCAATATTTCTTTCTTCGTTTATAGTTGAAGTGTTGATTTAATTGGTTTGGTGACAATGACGCTTGAAGATTTGAAGCTTAATCTGAGTTCTTTGAACAATCGCAACCACAAGGTCTCTGCAAAACCCAATCCCGGCCGTTCTTTCAAGCGTCCACGTTCCTCCGATTACGATTCCGATTCCAATTCTCAACCCCATCCAGTTAGGGTTTTGGGTCAGCAAACGAAGAGGAGGGTAAAGAGACAGAGGCAGATGCCTAAGGCTAAAGATATTGATGATGAAGATAATGGCGGGTTGGCGCCCTTGAAGGCAGTTTTTGATCATGGTGTCGCTGTGAGTAATTCTGAGGCTTCTTCTAGTAATTTCAGTAGCTGCAAATCGCCAGTGACAGTACTCCATCATGCCTCTCCTGTCAACGCCACAACATCCGATGAGATCAATCTGTCACCAAGAAGGGCTGCTCGGGTTGCAATGCTGAAGGCCCGATTTGCAGGTACCATCCTTAAAGCCAAACAAGATGTTCTTTATAGTGGCTCTAATGGTCTTGAAAACACCGACGACGAGATCAAGAGGTTTAAAGCTGCCGAGATGAAGAAAGCCAATGAATACATCAAGGAGCAACGGCAACGAGATAGAGAAGCTGCTCGGCTTGCCCTCGAAGAGATGGAGAGAAATGTTGTCATCGATGATAACTTCAAAACGATGAGAGACTTTGAGATGTTAATTTCTGGCGCCAACTGCTAGCATGTGGAGATATTGGAGACTGTTAAGCTAAGAGTATATGGATAGATGGATAGATAGCTTCAAGTAATTAAGATTTTTACATATAGGAAGAGGCTGCAGCATGTACAAAGTGCTAATGAGTAAGTCTACTGTCTTGTAGGCATTTCCACTATCTGTATATTTCCAAATTATAGCAATGAAAGAATATTTTGTCTCTTAACTTCCAAGCTCAAAGTATAAA